GTCAGTAGGCCTGCTTGTGCTCCTCTTCCATAGACCATGCATATAAATATATATATGTATATATATATATATATATATATATATATAATATATATATATATATATATAATATATATAATATATATATGTATTTATATATATATTATATATATAATATATATATATATATATATATATATATATATATATATATATATATATTATATATATATATATATTATATATATATATATATATATATATATATATATATATGTATGTGTGTGTGTGTGTGTGTGTGTGTGTGTGTGTGTGTGTGGTGTGTGTGTGTGTGTGTGTGTGTGTGTGTGTGTGTGTGTGTGTGTGTATATATATATGTATATATATATATATATATATATATATGTATAAATATATCTATATATATATATATATATATATATATATATATATATATAATATATATATATATATATATATATATATATATATATATATATATATATATATATATATATATATATATATATATATATACGCACACACACACACACCACACACATATATACATACACACACACACACACACACACACACACACACACACACACACACACACACACACACACACACACATACACACACACACACACACACATTCACAAACTCACACACACACAACATAAATATATATACATACACACACAGAGACACACACACACACACACACACACACACACACACACACACCACACACACACTCACTACAACATATATATATATATATATATATATTATATATATATATATATATATGTTTTGTTGTCTGGTGATGTTGAGCTAAATCCTGGTCCTTGCCGTCCAAAGTATTGTAATTTACTTTTTAGTAATATTCGTGGCCTTCATGGGAATTTGAATGAACTAGCAGTTATCTCGGCAAAATTTGGCATTATTTGTTGTGCTGAAACTCTGGTTTCAGACTTGAGGCACGCGTCAGAGTTACTTTTACCCAATTTTAATAAACCCTTGTTGCTAGGAATTCCATGCCTCGAGCCCAAGGTTTGTGTTTATATTCTAGAGTTGGTTTTAATGCTAGTCGTTTTACAAAGTATGAATGTGGTTGTCACGAATACATGGTTGTGAGAGTGTGTAGTCGTTTTAATATTTTTTACATTTTTAGTCTTTATAGAAGTCCCAACTCTGATGACAGTATTTATGATTGTTTTCGTACATTTCTATTCAAGAGAATGATATTAAATCTTGTTTTGTATTTATAGGTGATTTTAATGCTCATCACCGAGACTGGCTTAATCCTGTGTCCCCAACTGACCGACATGGCATTAGATTTTGCAGATGTGGTTGGCTGTGAGCAGTTAGTCCGTGGTGCAACTCACAGGAGTGGCAATCTTTTGGATCTTTTGCTAACTGATGTGACAGGGGTAGTTGATGTAGACTCCATCGCGCCAATAGGTTCTTCCGACCACTGTAGTCTAGCATGTAAGATCCAGCTGGACTTCCCTATGCCAGATTTTACGCTAACTAGACAAGTCTTCTGAAAATCTAGAATTAACTGTAATGGTGTCTACCATGCTTTTAATAGCATTGTTTGGCGAAATGTTTACTATGCTCCTTGTCCTGTTAAAGCTTTTAATTTGTTATTGTTGGACGTCATAACGAAGTTTGTACCCAGCAAAACTCTGAAATCTCGTTCACATGATAAAGCATGGCTTAATGAACGGTGTCACCAGGCTTATAGGGACAAACATGCTGCCTACAATCTCTGGTCTGCTAACCGTACTCGTCTTTGTTTGGAGAATTATGTTGCCATGCGAAGTACAGCAACTAATGTTTATAAGGAGGCTAAATCTGAATATAATGCTCACTTAAAAGAAGTTCTCTCACAAGCCTCACAGCCGCATAAATGGTGGTCAACACTAAAAACATCTCTGTTTGGTCTTGAGTCTTCCATTCCTCCTTAAATGAAACCTGATGGTAGTGTTACGTATAGTCCATTTGAGAAAGCTACCTTGTTTGCAGATTGTTTTATTTCAAAACAAAGTTTAGATGATATTGAACTTCCTCCTTCATGTCACCCATTGTCATGCTTTAATTCATTTGCTTTAAGGTCCTCTGAAATCAAGTATCTGTTATCTGAACTTGATGAATATGGTGGAGTAGACCCCAATGGCTTGTTTCCTTTGATTTTAAAAAGACTAAATGGCCAATTAGCTCCTAAATTAGCCGTAAGTTTACGCCTTTTAGTTCGTAAAGGGTCATTTCCAGATTGCTGGGGCTTTGGTAATGTTACCCCTATTCCCAAGGGCCCACTACACTTCACCTACTGAATATAGGCCCATTTCAATTACACCATTTTTATGCAAGGTTTTTGAACGTTTGCTGGTCAAACGTCTTTCTGTACATTTGAAACCGTTTCTTCCAGAGACTCAGTTTGGTTTTAGAAAGGGACTCGGCTGCAATGATGCACTGCTTATGTTGGTGCATGAAATTGCACAAGGGTTTA